GCAGACTGCACTCCAGTCTGGGTGACAGTGAGACTCCAACTCAAAACAAAACAAAACAAAACAAAAAAAAGTTCAAAAAGGTCAGGCATGGTGGCTCATGCCTGTAATCTCAGCACTTTGGGAGGCCGAGGCAAGATGATTGCCTGAGCCCAGGAATTCAAGACCAGCCTGGGTAACTTGGTGAGACCTTGTCTCTACAATAAATAAAAAAATTAGCTGGTCATGGTGGCATATGCCTGTAATCCCAGCTACTTGGGAGGCTGAGGTGGAAGGATTGCCTGAGTCCAGCAGGTCGAGGCTGTGGTGGTCTAGTGATCATGCCACTGCACTCCAGCCTGGGCAACAGAGTGAGTCACTGACTCAAAAAAAAAAAAAAGTTCAAAAGTCACAATTTTAATATTTCCAGAGAAAATAAGGCATGCCAAAAAGAAGTATGCTGTGCTAGAAAAAGGAACATTCAGAGAACAAATGGACTGTTTAGAAATGGAAAACATGTGATGGCATAAATTGCAAACATTTCAATAGGACATAACTTTGGAGAACTTTCCAAGAAAGCAGGAATAAAGAAAAATTGATGACAAACAGGAGAGAAAAGATAATAAAATCAGAGGCACAGTCTAGGAGATCCAACATCTGGATAGTAAGTGTCAGAAAGAGAGAGCAGGGGCTGGGTGCAGTGGCTCATGCCTGTAATCCCAGCACTTTGGGAGGCTAAGGCGGGAGGATCACTTGAGCCCAGGAGTTTGAGACCAGCCTAGACAATATAGTGAGACCTTGTCTCTACAAAAAATATAAAAAAAATTAGCCAGGTATGGTGTGCACACTTGTAGTCCCAGCTACTGGGAGGCTAAGGTAGAAAGATTGCCTGAGCCCAGGAGGTTGAGGCTGTGGTGAGCCATGGGGGCGACAGGCCTGGGGTAGAACCAGAGTGATCTCTAGTGTGGTATATTGAGAAGCCTCCTGCCCAGCTTGTGCAGGAAAAAGGGGGGAGGTGTTGCTTCCTCCTAGAGGCTGCAGGTAAACTGGCAGAGGTAAGAACAGCACAGGGACACACAGTGTCGGGATGATGAGGGGTGGCTGAGTTGGACAGAGCACGGGCCCCATGAATGACACTGAACTTCGATTCCCAAGTGGTCAAAATGCACAGAGGTGTTGTTGGGAAGGGGCACAATGTAGGAGGTGGAGACTGAAGGTGGGACACCAGTTGGGTGGCTGACACAGTGGTCTGGGTGCCCATGGGATGTGGAGGGATTTGGAAAGGGGGAGGAGGCAGAGCAACAAGAGTGTAGCTGACATGGAAAGAGAGGGGAGCAGTGTTGGGGGTGACTCAGGCATCTGACTGTGGCCATTGGTTTGGACTGAACTCCTGCACTAGGCCCAGCAGACCAAACCCAAATGGAGCCACTCATGCTGAAGTTCTACACCACTCGTCTAATATAAATCGTTTTTCTGACCTCTGAGAGATCAGGAGAAAGATAATAGCCAAATTCTCAAGCAGGCCAGTTTTAGTCGACATGACAAGGAAGTCCGCTCTGCTTTAACCTTACCGGGAAAGTAACTTTGAAATGACCAATTCGCTCTTTGTTCTTTGTTTCTGCATTCTTCAGCCTTTTTCTATCTGTAAACATTGTCTTGTTTAGAGCAAAATTATTTAAAAAACCACTTCTGGTCTTGAGAACTGCTCAATTTGTGAATTATTCTTTGCTCAAACAAATTCCATAAATTTATTTTGTTTGAATCAATATATATATGTGTGTGTGTGTGTGTGTGTGTGTGTCTATGTGTGTGTGTGTGTATATACACATATATATTTCTTTTAAATCAGGAGCTACAGACAGGAGGAAGTAGGGGGAAAGGGGACTTGCCATCAGCAGCTCAGGTTTGGTGGAGGCTTTGCTTCCCTAACTGGACAGTGTTGCCACTGATGCAAACTGAGTGTGAGCATGTTGCAGGCCTGGGAGGGAATCCTAGGCTCTGGAGGGAGGACTTAGCCACGGACCTGGGACCACGTTCTGGTATTTTCTTTGCAGGGACTGCAGAGCTCAGAGGTCAGGGAGAAGCTCCTGGGAGCTTGGCTTGAGGGAGACTGGCCACCCACCTAGGGTCCCAGTGGGAAGTACTGATGGTCCCAGGGCCTGAGCTGAGTGGGCCAGCCCCCATGCTGCACGGATTGGTTCCTTAAGGTCCTGAGGTGCGAGGATGGGGAAGAGATACATGAAGTGACTTGAATCCTTGCTTCGACCCTGTTCTGTCTGCCCACGGCTTACCCCTCCTCCAGTAAACTTGCTCCAGGCCCGACCTGACTCTGTTTCCCTACCCTACTCTCTGCTTGTGTTGTCTCTGCACCTTTCACCCAGCCCCACCTCCTCTTGTCCTCACATGTCCCCTTCTTCCCAGAGCTGGTGGCTCTTTCCACCCTTTCTCCCTCAGGACTGGAATGAGACCATGTCCTGAGATGGCGACTTTAGGGAGTCCTAGGACTTGGACATTACTGGGAGGGCAGGTGATGGGAAGGACTTTCTGATTGTGCAGGCCTATGATACTGATGGAAGGATGGGGGAGGGGAGAGGGAGAGCAAGGGAGGAAGGGGTAGGCGGGAGAGAGAAACGGAGGGGGGAGAGAGGGAGAGGGATGGAGGAAGGGAGAGAGGAAGAGAGAGAGAAGAAAGCATAGAGAAAGGGAAATGTGGATGAGATACCAGTTTACGACTGAAGGACAGGGTGAGCCTGTAACATCTCCGTGAGCATGTCAGATGGATGGACTCCACAAGATTTTAATTTGGACAGCCCTGTCAGCTATAACTTTTCCGACCTTGTTCTCTGACTGATTCCCCCTCTGACTCTCCATCCTGGGCAGAAGCTCTTCCTTGCTCCCTTTGCCCCAAGCCCAACCAACCCGTAACCCACTCACCAGATGAGCAGGGCTGACAGCACCAGGCTTTTGGTTAGGAGGAGTCCACAGAGCACAGGGACCAGGGCGCTGGGGCCTTCAGGGCCAGGGTAGAGCGTGGAGTTCCACGGCCTGGAGGGCACAGAGACAATAAAGGGGAGGATAGGCTGGAAGACAGTCTCTGCCTTCGGCCCCTGTCTGCGCCTGTGTGGTTGTGGGTCCCACCCTGAACTCACGGTGAAGGGGCAGTGATGGTAGATGGCACCTTGGGGGGCTCTGTGGCTTCTCCAGTCGGGGGTACACGGCTCTGGGTCTGTGATGAAACCAGGTTGTGGGGAGTCCAGGTGGTCTGCATGGAGGTAGAGGCTGCCAGGGAGGAGAAAGGACCTTGGTTAGTGGGTAGAAAAGCCCACCTGTTCCTGCAGCAGGAAAGCTGGATCACGGAATTGGACCCTGTTGGGCACAGGGCCCATTAGCCCAGAAGGAGAAAACCGATTTGGGGGGCGGGGACTGGGTTGTGAAGTCCCCTGGCTCAGAATTAGGCAGACCGTGGCCTGGGCTCTATTGGGCACATATGGTCATATCCCTGAGTCCAGAAGGAGCACGGGAAGAGGAGTCAGAAGGTCCAGACCAGCCTCCTCACTTCTACATCTGTGGATGGGACTATCTACCTCAACCTCCTCAAGGGTGGAAATAGTCAGAGCCCTTCTTCTCTGACCTCCATTCTCTTTCTTACATCTCTGGGGCTGTTTTGGGGAAGGGAGCCCCTTGAAGGGCTACTTTCCCATCCCTGTCCCTCCCAGTTCTGTGGCACAGTCCTGGGCTCTCCAGAGCCTTGCCCCTCTTGACTGAAATTTTGCAAGCTGCCTGCCCACCATTCCCAACGTTCACTTTCCCAAGAAGACCCCAGACCTACCTATGCTCAGAGCCCTTGGTGAAGGCAAGGTGGTTGTCTCTGGAATAGTGATGGGAGCTACTGCGGTCAAAGAGACAACGACCACTATAGGGGGTGAGGGGCCCGGGAGGGAAAGAAAGTGGGGTTCGTCCAAGGAAGAAGTGAGGACTCTCAGTGCCCTCAACTAGGTCTACATACCCATCTGGGGTCCAGGACGGAAGCAACTACTGAAAACTCGGGCAGAGAGAAGGGCAAGGGCTGGGAGAACCTGGAGGAGATGGTGTCTGAGGCTGGGACATCCCTTGTCCCAAGGCTGCCCTGGAAGATCTGTCCAAGCCCCAGGCTGATGGACATGTGGACACCGTCCTGTCCCATAGGAGCACTGTCTCTGAGGCTGCCTAGGATGCTGGCAGGGAACAGCCATGGGCCCAGCCTGGAGGAGGTGTTTGGGACACTGGAAAAATACTAGACCTGTGCGATGTGTGATCTGTGGGCTGGTGCTGGTTTGCATATTGCAATCCAGCCACGACAAGGTGAGTATAAACATAAGGAGTAAGGATTTTGAAGCTTGTATATCAACTTGATATTGTCTTAAGAGCCAAGCATGTGATGAGTAAACTCATCCCATCTCATTGAACAGGGTGTAGACCTGCTTGGGTGCTGTGAAACTGGCGAGTGGAATAATGGAGCAGGCTGTGTGCTGGTAACACACACCAGGATCATGTTACAATGTGTGATACTTTAAGATTAGTTGTTAGCTGTAACACACAAGTGTATAAACAACTGGGAAAAAGTATTTTTTCCTTAGAGTCGGAGTCTCACTCTGTCATCCAGGCTGGAGTGCAGTGCATGATCATGGCTCATCAAAGCCTCAACTTCCTGGGCTCAAGTGATCCTTCTGTCTCAGCCTCCCAAGTGGCTGGGATTACAGATGTGTACCACCATGCCCACCTAATTTTTGGTAGAGACAAGTTTTCGCTATGTTGTCCAGGCTGGTCTTGAACTCCTGGACTCAAGTAATTCTCCCACCTTGGCCTCCCACAGTGCTGGGATTATAGACGTGAGCCACCACAGCTGACTATTTTTGTAATTTGTTATTTTTACATCATTTTTCTTTTTAGTCAAATTTTTTTAAAATTTAAAGCTTAATATGATTAGCTAATTTATATTAATGTACTGATTACCTAATTAGAGTTCTAACTAACAGCAAAACAAAAGTCAAGAAAAGACAAACCTTTTCTGAATGTGGCAGTAATAGTATACCAAATGAAGATGGTAGAATTGCTTCCAAAGTTTGTTTCCTTTTGAAATTATTCCAAAGAGTTTGTACTGGGTTTGTTTGAAAATAGAATCCCTCATTGGTGAGTCTGGGGAGACCCATACTAGACTCTGAGCTACAGAACTGTAAGATGATAAGTGTGCCTTGTTTTAAGCCACTAAATTTGTGATAATTTGTTATGAGAGCAATAGGGAACGATCACACTCACATATATGATTCTGTAGTTATAATTAATAGTGAAGTATTAAAACCTAGAGAGTTATTTGCTGAGATGTATTGGTAATGAAGCAAAACCACCATAAAAACCAATGGCGCATACACATATAAAACATAAAAACACAAGTTTAAAACAAATGCCTTTTTTTAAGGGAAAAAGGAATATTGGATTAAAATATGCTCCAAAAGCAATCAGATTTTCACATGTAAACTCTAGTTTTTCTTGTGAAGCAGCACTTAATATTGCAAAGGCTAACAATCCATATGCAATTACCAAAACGTTATTGCAATAGGACCTCTGCGTCATGATATTGGGTTAGCTTACAGCAAAAAAAAAAAAAAGAAATCAAATATCACTTTCCAGTGACATCTAAGGTTTACATATTGGGAACTGGGTAATGATAGGGAAGACTGTCTCCTAGAACAAATAAAACTAGCAAGATGTTTTTCATGGCAATCTAAAAAGTGCACAAATATTGCTAGCATAGTTTGGTTTTTTTTTTTTTTTTTTTTGAGTTGGAGTCTCACTCTGTCACCCAGACTGGAGTGCAGTGGCCACTCCTGGCCACTGCAGCCTCGATCTGCTAGGCTCCGGCGATCCTTCCGCCTCAGCCTTCTGAGTAGCCAGAATTACAGGCATGCGCTACCATGCCTGGCTGATTCTTTTTTTTTTTTTTATTGTAGAGATGAGGTCTCGCCAAGTTGCCCAGGCGGGTCTCGAACACGCGGGCTCAGGCAATCCACTCACCTCAGCCTCCCAAAGTGCAGGCTGAGCCACTGAGCCCAGCTGGAATTCTGTATCTTTGAGCTTCATTGCCAAAAACATGACTAGCTTCAAACTGCATAAAACTATGAAGGATTACATTATCAAAATGTGGTTTGGAGTATGAGTTCTATGTAGGAGTATGTTCTGATGGCTGCAGTTGCTATGATGGGAAAACATTCTGGAACAGGCATCCAGATTACAAAACCTTGGGCTGAACAGTAAATCAATGCACTGCTTCCTTCACTGAGAAAGTTTTGCTATGAAAAAATATCAGCTGACCTGAACAGTGTGCTGACCAATATGGAAAAAAATTGTGAATTACATAAGATGAATAGATTACATCTGAAACCGTTCTCTTCACTGTGTGATAATATGAAAACAGATCATAAACAGGTATTATTGCATGCCAAGTTCAAATTTCTGTTGAAAACATTTGATGTATGGGTATGGAAATAAGTCCTAATGTTTCTGCAAGACAAGAAACCAGTTTAGCACAAACTTCTTTTTTTTTTTTAAGTCAGAATCTTACTGTCACCCAGGCTGGAGTGCAGTGGCACGCTCATGTTCACTGCAGCCTCAACCTGTGTAGGAGTATGTTCTGATGGCTGCTGGGCTCAGGCAATCCTTCTGCCTCAGCCTTTCAAGTAGCTGGAGCTACATGCGTGCACCACTATGCCCAGCTAATTTTTTGATTTGTTGTAGAGACGAGGTCTTGCCATGTTGCCCAGACTGGTCTTGAACCCATGGCCTCAGGCAATCCTCTCACCTCTGCTTCCCAAAGTGCTGGGATTACAGGTGTAAGCTACCACACTTGACAAAGATGCATTTTGAAAATACAACATCTCTTTCTTCCTTTTGTAAAAGTTAAAAATAAAAATACTGAGTTTTGTCAAAAGTGCTTTAAAAATTTCTTATATTTCCCTCAACACATCTCTGAGACCAATTTTTTTTATGATGAGTGTTATTTTTAAAAAAGATCAACGCAATTTTTAAATATATATATCTCCTAAATGACATGGTGCCATAAACAGTTCTCAAATTAGGTAAGTTAACAGGCAAGAAGAGTGATCATTTGTCACATTAAAATCTCTAAACCTGGATATACAGGGTGTTTGCTCAAAGTGTGTGCACTGGCATTTAATATGGGGAATTGTTATTTCACATCTAAGTTTTTGTTTAATTATGACTAGGAGGACAACAAAACATTACAGGTACAATGTTAGCCACTAAACCAATCACCTTTGGGCATACTTTCAAGTGAACAATGTGTACAGTTTTTATAATTTATATTTTTTCCCCGTGTAATGTTTGCTCTGATTATATTTGTTGCAATGTAATTTTATGACCGTCAAATTTAATGAACACTTTGGGCTTGTATTTTGTTTTTTCCTCATTTTATTTTATTTTTTGAGTTGGAGTCTCACTCTGTCACCCAGACTGGAGTGCAGTGGCCGCTCCCGGCCACTGCAGCCTAGACCTGCTGGGCTCCAGCGATCCTTCCGCCTCAGCCTTCCAAGTAGCCGGAATTACAGGCATGCGCTACCATGCCTGGCTGATTTTTTTTTATTTATTGTAGAGATGAGTTCTCACCAAGCTGCCCAGGTGGGTCTCGAACCCACGGGTTCAGGCAATCCATTCACCTCAGCCTCCCAAAGCGCAGGATTACAGGCTGAGCCACTGAGCCCGGCTCTCATTTTATTATTCTAGTAATCAGTCGTTACTGTATTTTACCAAAAAGTTAGTCATTGATGGATTGCAGATTTTTAACAAATGTCTTCCCCCACAGGTACTTGGAGAAGCTCTGCTCTAAGCTGGTGGATGGCACACTTTCTGTGAAGGGCCAGGGGTGGGCCATGTGGTCTCGGTCTCAACTGCTTGGTTTTGCTGTTGCAGCATGAAAAGGGCCACAGACAAAAGGTAAATGAACAGGCATGGCTCTGTTCCAAAATACTTTACTTACAGTCACTCAGATTTGGATTTTCTATAATTTTCACATGTCACAAAATAAGATTTTTCTTTTTTCCCCCAAACCATTCTTAGTTTTTCAGGACATAGTATGCTAACCCCTGATCTGGACCATGAGGGATAGACAGGCCCCTACAAAGACAGACACCAACAAACCCATGTGAGCCGCCAGCTCCACATGGCGGAGGTTAGTTTGCAGCCAGAGGATACACATTTACTGAACACCTACTGTGTGCAGGGCATGTGGGCTCAACTGGACAGCATGTGCAACTGATCTGTTTGAGCATCTCTGAGGAGGCCAGTGGATCACGGAGGCAGACGTGTGAGGGGGCTGCATGTGTGCTCCTGTGTGAGTTCCTCAGGCACCCTTCCCCACAGCCCTCCCAAGAGACCGGGCAGGGGCAAGGGCTGGCTTACATCACTGGGAGTGATAGAGGTACCAAAAAGGAGTGAGGGATATTCCCCCAAGGGCCCAGGGAAGGGGATCACCTGGAGACACCATCAGATAGAATCTGATGCCCTTAGACACAGAGCGACTGGAAGCATGGTAGATTTTACACCAGTAGTGTCCCGAGTCTTCCTCCCTCAGATCAGTCATGGTGACAGTGAAGAAGCCTGCACCAGGGTTGTCTCAGATTGAGAATCGAAAGACCTGAACCAGCGTCTGGGGACTGGAGCTGATGACTGAGTGTGTACAAGGGCTGACACCACCTTACTCCAGCTCTTCTTCTCATAGGGCCCGCTTTTGGGTGGGTACTGGCATCTCAGGGAGAGCGTCTGCCCTGCTGTGCTTTGAAGTTCCTGAGTCTTGGATAGTGCCTGGGAGCCTGGAGAACAAGGCTGGAGGTCAGGGCCATGCGCAGGACCCACCCCACACCAGGCCTCTGGCCACAGTGTCACCTGCCCCCTGCCCCGACAGTCCCCACCACACCCTTCTCTTCTCTTCTCCTTCTTACCTGGTAACAGCAGCGGCAGCAGCAGCAGTCGTGGGAGTGGTCCTCTCCAGGCCATGAGGCCCTTTTCCTGTGTGCTGGCAGGAGGGAGTGTGAGGGTGCAGACTGGGGACAGGGAATGAGGAGCTGGGCCTGGTTCTGCTGCCTCTTCTAGCACCTCTGAGGTAGAAAAATGAGACAGGCCAAAGCCTGGGTTGAGGAGGAGGGAGACTAGGGCGGGCAGATTCCGTGGGCACAGGGTAGTGGGGACTTCCAGCTACTGGTGAATTGGGCCTGGTGGGTCCAGCCCTGCCTGGCACGCAGTTCCCTGACCTCTGTAGAAGCTTGCACAGCTACCCCCTCCCCACTGTGACTCATCCCTTAAGGAGGAGCTGAGAAGGCCTGGAGGAAACTGTGGTCACGAAATACGGCACCTCACGCTTTCTCCCTCTCTGTGCACTGCCTTATCTTTGCAGTGCCATGGCTTCGCCCTCTCTCCAGGGAAAGGGGCAGGCTGAAGGTGGACGACAAGTTTAGCGATACTCGGAGGCCTGAGCATGAGCCCCAAGCCCCAGTGGGTGGTCAGAGACATCATGCCAAGGCCTGCCTAGTGCATGGGTCAGTGATGGCAGGTTTTGTGGGTGCTGGAGGGGAGATGAGAGAGGATGTGGAGACTTGATTCCAGTAAGGAAGTGTAAGGAGAGTCCCTGGCAAGGGGAGGGGAGGGGAGAGTTAGGAGAGAGTTCTGAGCAGTGGTCCCACAGGGGATACAACAGTGGGGGTGGGAGAGGGAGCCCAGGAACTTGGACCTGGCCTCATCTCTGCATCCTCAACTCCCATCACCTAAGGACGCTGGAGAAAAATTTGTTTATTTAACACAAATACAGATGAAAGACGCTACCATCTCTTTCTTTAGTGAATGCTAACAGTTTTTTTTTTTTTGAGTTGGGGGTCTTGCTCTGTTGCCCAGGCTGGAGTGCAGTGGCATGATCATGGCTCACCACAGCCTCAGTCTCCTGGACTCAGGTGATCCTTCTGCCTCAGCCTCTCAAATAGC